GTCTTTTTCTTCTCTTTGCCCTTTTTCCGGATCAAATCTGAATCATTTGATAGCTTTCGCTTCTTCCCTATCCCGCCAGATTGCAAGTCATTACTTTTGTCCAGTCCGGATGTTTGATTTGACACATCATTTAAATCTAAATCTAAACTTAAATCGTACTTAAATATTTGATTGTAATGATTTTGATTTATATTTTGTCTTTTCTTTTAAGGGAGTTTTTACACAGGGATAACCTCTTAACTTCCTTTTCTAGAAGTATTTTCTTTTTAGTTTTATTTGTATATAATAGTTATCATCTGCTTCTGGAATAAATAAAGTATGTATGTATGTATGTATGTATCATCATGCTTGGGTGTGGAAGAACGAAATACGAGAGGACTCGCCCACCTTGCAGTCGAAATATTTTCGGTTTCTGGCAAAGTATATCTCCATTTAGTCCCGCGGCCAGCCCTACGGTGTAAGGGGTCCGCCATGATGACCGTTTGTTATCAATGTTCAAAGTAACAAGTAAAAAGTTGTCCCAGGTTAGCGAGTTATCCCAGAGCGTTTACAAGGCAGCTAGGGTTACCCTGGCGCTAGGGTAACCCTAGCTGCCTTGTAAACACGTCGATGAAAAAAAGAAGAAATGTGGGAGCGTTAGGGTAACCCTCCTACCAGGGTAACCCTAGCACTAGGGTTAGTAAGTTTCTCCTCTTTTTTTCCCCTGCCGATATTGCGTTTATTCGTTGTCGTTCCAAAAAGCGTGTCGGGTTTTTTTCGCATATCAGTTTTTAGCTACTCCAACTTTAGATGCTGATATCTGCGCAACCAATCAGAACATCGAAAAAGCAGGCTTTGAGACACACTTTTGTTGATTGATGCCTTGTGAAAGAGACTGTGCAGCCATTTTGCTCGTGCTGCAGCATCCGATATCCAATGAATTCAATAGAAGAACATTCGGTCGTTTCACGCCTTACCGGCTCTTGACACTTCCTAAAAGAAAAGTCTCTTAAATTATACTTTTATTGTAATCTGCATTTATTAAGCTTTGTCGTGACTTAAAGTTTGCTAGGATTTTAGTGAAACTAGCGCGCGTGCGAATTTTTTCCCGAATTTTTTTCGCGAAGGTGAGAAGTAACGTTAAGTATATCTTAGATATTTTCAGCACCCTTTTTTTAGCCGATTTTTTTATTCGTGAATTGTGAAAGGACCGTTCCCATTCAGGCTTTTTTTTACGTGCAAACTATGGTAAACCGGGAGGCCGGGAAACCGTGGTAGAATCCATTTTTTTTGCTATTTTAATTAACGCTCTCATGAACGATAACGAATAAATGCAATATCTTTTTTTAAAAACAAAGAGGAGAAACTTACCGAATTGCCTCCGCTTTACGGCAAGACTTTTTTTGTTTCGCCCACGGTCTTCACATTCGATGACGTCATGCCCCCAGCAGATCGTTTTTTTAGTTGCGGTTTGTATTTTTGGTGGTTTCGGCGAGATAGCCTTCACGTCACTTTTTTTACAAGCTCGACGATCGGCCACAACATCGGAATATTTCATGTAATGCTGAGTTTTTTTATGTTCAGCTAGAGTGTCTGACGTTCTGCAAAGCTATTCGACGTAACGCTTTTTTTTTTGTGAGTACGCTGTACCATTCGACATTAGGCTGGGCCATTTCACGCAACTTTTTTTTATTTGTATGTACGCTGTGCCATTCTGCATTACGCTGAGCCATTTCACGCTTTTTTTCGCTGTTTGTATGTAAGCTGTACAATTCGACATAACGCTGAGCCATTTCATTTTTTTCTACACCATTTGTGTGTACGCTGTACCATTCCACATTACGNATACGGGAAAGAAAGCATAAAATTTGATCGGAAAAGAGTTTGTAGGAGAATTGCGCGAATGGCTCGATTTACGTGATTTTTTAGTTTTTCGAAATGTTTTGCTTAAAGCTCCTCTCTATATCATTACGTAAATCACGAAGGGCTTATTTACGTCTCTCCTGTTGGAACTATAGGAACAGACTGCCGCGTAGCTCATGGTAATTAATGCGAGTAACCAAACACTTCAAATTTTGATATTTTGGGAAGAGAAGAAAATCCAAATCAACACCTTATCAAGTGTGACGTTTGTAAACTCCTTTTTCCTCCAAGGAAGTGTGAATGTACGAATAGCAGCTGAGGTCAACTAGAGTTAAAATATTGTAAGAGGGTATCATCACATTACAATCTTCAGGTTTCCTGCCGGAAAACCTTAGTTACTCACCGAATATTTCGTTTTGACCGTTCGTGAAATTATTGAGAAGGTATAAAGTTCAACCTCCTGGATGTGCTTATTAAGACAACAGGAAATAGGAAATTCCATGTCGGTCATCATAAAGAAGGTGATGCCAGTGCACCGGTGGTCACTGAAAGCCAATCTACCATTTTAAAAGTAAACAAACAAACCATCGTAATTCAAAGAACGCCAACATTGCTGAATCAAGGAAACTTTTTCATGAACAGTTTGCCAATGGAATGAATATCACTGCGTTTTGTCTTCAATGAAAGATGCCTGCCGTTTTTTTTTTTACAAATTCTATTCTTTTATCAAAAACTAAAGTAATAACATTAAAAATTGTTTCCTTCTCACGCTACATTGACTGTTTTAGGAACGTAATGTCGCAGCAGCTCAAACTACAAGTACCAGCATCAAGTACAGATATCGTGAGGTGGAATGACCGACATGTCATAACTGACGGAACACTCACTGAACACGTGATAAAGAGCGCGGGCTTTGCGTAGGTAATACCCTCTGACAGGTTAGGATATCAAGTAAAACCGTTTGCCGTCAGTCTGACACGTACGCCACGATTTACACTTTTGGACTCTTGATTAGACAATTACAGCAACAACAGCGATATATAAGTGATCTAAGACGTTAGACAACAAAAGTTTTAAACTTTGGCGTTATACGTTACACTTTTGATCCATGGATACATCGAACTGCCGACAGAACTATGTTCGTCCGCAAAGCCACGAATCGAGTAGTCAGTTCTCCAGAGACGGAGAAGTACACCACAACCTCGCTTATGATCACGATTATGAGGACGTGAACAACTTTAGGGCGGAAAGTAAAGAACCAGCATGTAACGGCCCTAGATGGAAAAAAAACGATTTATATGAATCAAAAGGGCCTCTGAAGCAGCCTGTGGGGCTAAATACTGGATCTTCCATGGACACTCCAAACTGGCAACATTTTCTGAGGAGTAATCAGTTCTCCAGAGACGGTGAAGTACACCGCAACCCCGCTTATGATCACGATTATGAAGACCCTCGAGGTGTGAAGACGGAGAGTAAAGAACCAGCATGTCAAGGCTCTAGAAAGAAAGACAATGATTTATACGAGCCAACAGGGCCTCTGAAGCAGCGAGTTAGACAAATCACTGAATGCTCAGACGATTTCAGTACAGCGTCAATGTGTAGTGCCAGTGGCTTCCCTACTTGGAAGAAAGACAGCTGTCTGAGCAAACTAATTCTCTTCCTTATTCTTGCCTTTTCTGTAGCAGCACTCGTATTAGTAATTTTAATTATTAACGGCACAGTGGGTCCAAAGTGTGGCTGCAAAGATTTCAACGAAGGTATGTTTTAAACAAAACTCTAGGTGGGTGTGTTCTTATTTAATATTTCTTCGCCGGCCCAAATGAAAGGAAAAACATTGCATGAAAAGAATTTTTTCTTCATGCACGTGAGAGTAGCTAAAGATGAGTGGGGTATGTGGGCGGCAAATGTTGTGCATTCTTCCACGTACAGCTTATAGTTGCTGGACACTGTCAAATTGATCGGAATAAATGTCAAATCTAACCGATAATTGATCCTCTGAATGGAATCGAGAAGGAATACTCTTTGTAGTGTGCACGAGGAAAGGTCAATCATTTACTAACTCCTTCGTATTTGTACATCAGTTTATTCATTCATTTCTTCACTAAGGAATGTACTAACGTAAATAATTTAAGAAATTCGTGTTTACCCTCCATCGGAAGTCTTGGGTTTTTACGGCAGTTTATTTAAAGACAATTTATTTAGCTCCTAAAGCAAAATAGCACCAACGTCAACGTAGTTCTCCATAGAATCGATATAACAAACCGTTAACCGTTAGCTTACATGGGAGGAACATTGAGGAAAAGTAAAGGCGGAAATTTGTGGAATGTCCTTTTGGCGCGTAAATCATCCTACAACCTCAGAGAAATCCTACTACTAATTACTAGCTCAGAGAAATCCGAAAATTACGCGCAAATGTTTTTCTGCGTAAACGCTGGTAGTGAGAGATCGTAATATGATGAAATTATTGAAGTATAGCCCACGAACCCATAGAAAGTGACCGTTTCTTATGTTCCACGCTTATCAATTTGCGTGTGTTGAGATCGGTGGTTTTGAGAGAATCTTTGATAATGAAAAAATGCCCCCTTGAAGGTCACATTCCAGTGAGCCGCAAGCGGAAAGAAGAAAAAGCCTCTGTTGATTCAATTTAGAAATATAAACTCTTTCTTATCTTCGACACCGTAGCCGCAGGCGAGCTGGGTATCAAACACGATAATGTGCGGGTGGCGGAGTTCTTTCTTACGTTTGGTCATTAACTGATCATTTGTAACGAGCACTCCGCAATTTGGTCAGAATTTTGCATTTCTATAGATAAAATTTACATTATATTATTTTTAAGGGAGGCGACATCACGAAATAATCCATAAGGCTCTCT